TTCATATCCCCTGTAGATTACTATGCTAAGGTAAAGCATTTGTGTGGATTCAAATGTAATAGTTTATTATTTCTGTTTAATCGATGACTGAGCCACAGAATAGACATTAACTTGCTTGATGTCACACAGCTAAATTTGGTCATGCTTGGTGTGACAGACACCAGAGCACTGGCTTTTATAGCCAAATTATATTCTTTCCCCAATAATTAGAGAAATTCTTAAAACTCTTCTAGATTGATGATAATGCTCCAACTTGAAAACCAGAATTTTTATTGCTGAAAAAGGGGCAGATGGAAATTGGGAGGCATGCTTTGCTCCATTAAGTCAGCACAGTTTTCCACCAGTGTTGGAACCAATCACTATTTCTTCAGCCAAGAGCCAGATGAAGTAACTAGCTCCCATTTAGTGATTTTATTTTCTAAAGAGTCAAATCACATTTAGCATTGTGGGATGCTCATACTATGTGTGTATTTGGGGCTTTGTAAGAGATCTTATAAGTTTTTTCATCCTGCCAAGCACACATGGAATTGGATGCAATGACATTTGGGGTTTTTTTTTTTTTTCCTGGTTTCTTTTCTGATCACACTTGAAGTAATTGATTTGGGATTTTCCTTGCTTCTTAATGAGGGCCTGTATAGCAATTATCTTTCTTATTTAGACTATTTTCTGCTGCAGTCCATAAATTCTAGTAGTTTCTATCTTCATCTTCAAGAGTCTAGGAGTGCTTTAGTTTCCTCTTTAACCCAACAGATATGAAGCAGCATGTTTTATAGTTTCTATGTATTTCTGGTTTTCCCAGTTTTTTAAAAATAAAGTATTTCTAGCTTTAAGAGTATTGAATTCATCTCTTATGATTAAAGAATTCGTAAAGATGATAAGTTAGAATCATTATGATCAGAATATTTGGTATGATTTCATTCTTCATCATTTTATCGATAATTGACTTGTGGCTTACCATATGTCTATTATTGGGAATGTTCCATGTGTGTTTGAAGATTATATATATAGATATAGGTAGGTATATCTATATATATGCAGCAGTTTGGTTGGAGTAGATTGTAGATGGCTGTCACATCTGTTTGGTCTGGCTCCTCATTTATGTTTGTTTTCTTATGTATTCTCTGTCATGTTAATCTGTCCATAGTATAGTTGTAAATTATTAAAATTTAAAGTATTAAAATTTCCTATCACTGTGTTGTTATCAATGTGTATCTTTAGCTATTAATAAATATATATCTTTGGTGCAAATATTATGAGCATTATTTCTTCTTGTTGTACTAGGGCCTTAATCATAATGTTAGGTCTACCTCTGTCTCTTATACCTTTTTAAATTGCAGGTCTGTTTTATCTGATAAAATTATAGCTGTCCCTGGGTTGTTTTTGATGACCATTTGCTTGCAAGATTGCCTTCCATCCTTAAACTATTAAGTCTTACTTGTCTTTCTTGGAAAGATGGTTTCCTGTTAACAGCATAAGGTTGGACTTTGTTTTGAAATCCATTTAGCCACTCTGTATCTTTTAATTGATGACTTCAAGCCATTTACATTTAAGATAATGAACACTTCTTGTGATTTTTGTCATTTTTAAAAATTTTCTTAGTTTGCCTTTGCCTTTTATTTTTTGACATCTTCTGGGTATGTATATTACTTTACCTGTTTTAAATACACACACATACACACACACATGTACTGTTGTTTGTTCATATGTATACATTTAAATGTGTAAAATAAGGAAGTACATAAAACATCTCAGTAATACATAGAAATTAAAGATAAAGAACTTCGTAACTGATTATATAATTATATATTATATCAATACAATATAAGCAATTCCTTTTTTATATTATATTTCATTACTAAGAAATAAAGAAATGAGTATAAAAAACAGTCACATTCGGCCCTCCCCGGTGGCGCAGAGGGTTAAAGCACAGCACTAAGAAGCTAAAGCCACTTCCGCATGAGTTCGATTCCCGCCTGCCCTGGAGCTGACCACATGGCGCGGCTGCTGCTCCCCTCAGCTGTGTACTTCATCAGTCGGCCTGTTCTGTACCCCACTCTGTCTCTGGTGAATCCTCTCACCCTCCGCATCTCTGGCCTGTACCCCAGTTCTGTATGAATAAATAAATCTTAAAAAAAAAAAAAAAAACAGTCACATTCACTAGGGCCAAAATAAAGCACTCAAGAAAGGGGGATAGTTTTCCTTGCCCTTCTACTCCTTCCCATTAAGTGAGAGGAAGCCTTTTTGCAGAAAACACTGCCAGGATTCACTGAATGGTAGGGAAGTAGCTGTGGTGTCATGCCAACAAAACTTGCTGGAAATTCACCCACCAAAAAACACCTTGGAAAAGCAGCTTATAGGAAGGTATCTCACTACATCTGCACTCTGCTACACTTGCCACCCACAGGAATCAAAAGGCAAATTCTTTTGTCTTGAACTATGTCTCCAGCTCCCTCTGTTGACTAAATTTAACACTGCTCCACATGGCAAAAGAAAAACACTTAAAAGGCCCAGATTCATTTTCTTTCATAAGATTTATTTATTTCTGTGTATACAGAAGTAGGGTACACACCAGAGGTATAGGGGGTGAGAGGATTCACCAGAGACAGAGTGGGGAGCAGAATAGGCAGATTAATGAAGTGCACTGCTGAGGAGAGCAGCGGGTGGGTCAGGAGAGGTCTGCCACACCATGTGGATCACCTCCCTGGCCAGGGATAGAACTCATGCTGCAATGGCTGTGATAGCTTCATAATGCTGTGCTTTAACCTGCTGCACCACTATGGAGGGCCTTCTTTTTTCTTTTTTGAAGATTGATTGATTTATGCATACAGAGCTGGGGTACAAGCCAGAGGTGCAAGGGCAATGAGAAGATTTACCAGAGACAGAGCCGGGAGCAGAACAGGGTGACTGATGAAGTACACTGCTGAGGGGAGCAGCGGGCGAGAAAAGAGGTCTGCCATGCCATGAGGGTCAGTTCCCTGGCCAGGGATCGAATTTGTCCTACGGAGGCTGTGGCTAGCTACCTGCTGCTGTGCTTTACCCTGTTGAGCCATGAGGGAGGGCTTCATTATAGAAGAAAAAGGGAGAATTTAAAGCTTAGAGTAACCAGTAACCAGAGTCAATAACTAGCAAAGAGTGACTGTAACGTTTTTAGGTACCAGTAATTTTACACTGATATCCGGGTATTTCCAATTGACAGACAGTATGAACTTTCCTATGTCTGCAAACTTCGATTTGTCAGTTTTAGAGCAGTCATTTTGGAAGAGTGGTCCTTGCCACTCTTGCCTAGCATTAATTAATATCACCTGGGAACTTGTTAGAAATGTAGATTCTAAGGCCCAACCCCAAACCTACTGGGTCAGAATCTGGGATCAGGGACCTGTATGCTGTGTCTTAACAATTCCTCCAAGTAATACTAGTACATGCTAAGGTTTTTTGAGAACCACTGCTAGGAACTTGCTCTGTAGGTTTGCAGGGAAGAGTCTAAAGAGCTTGCTTTCTTTGTGTGACTTTTGGTCTCGATTTTTAATCTTGAAGAAGCCAACCTTGTTACTTTGGTATCTGGAAGCCAGCAGGGAACATATTATAGTTGCTAGTTTTGATTTAATAACATGTTTCTGGGTTCAAGGGTATGGATACATCTAATAGGCTCACGTCAGTGACAAACTGTTTTTAATGTCTTTTTTTTTTTTTTAACCTGCAGTTCATGATTAGGATCCCTGAGCTGCAATTGTAATTTTCACCTATTTCTGTATTTCACCCATTTCTATAATAGTATTCTTTTTTCACATCCTTTTTTTTTTTTTTTTAAGATTTATTTACTTATGCATGTATATAGAATTGGGGTACAGGCCAGAAGTGCAGGGGCGGTGAGAAGATTCACTAGAGATAGAGTGGGGAGCAGAATAGGCAGATTGATGAAGTATACTGCTAAGGGGAGCAGTGGGCAAGACAGGAGAGGTCTGTCTCGCCCTGTGGTCAGCTCCCTGGCCAGTGATTGAACTTGTACTGGAGCAGCTATAGCTAGCTTTGTAGTGCTGTGTTTGAACCTGTTGCATCACCAGGGAGGGCCCCCTGCTTTTTTCCTAACTGTCCACCATGGATGGAGTATTTTAAGAACAGCTAGTGCCACAGACCTAACATCATATGGCAGGGAGCTCATATTAGCTCACCACTGCCTTTTGCCCCATGGATAACTTCATGAGTTGGCTTGCCTCCTTCAAGAACAGAAAGCTTCATTTTTCCCTAACATAGCCATGGGCTTCCCAGTCTCCAAAATTTGTTTTCTTCAAAGGTGAGAGGAACAAATGATGCATTCTAGCAAGCATTTTTACAGTCATTCTTTGCTTTAAAATAAAAAATGTGTATGTCTGTTAATGTGGTGTAGGAATTGTAGTCTGGCCCAGGTTTCAACACTACCATGCTATACATGGTTAACAGGTTACCATGTAATTCCAATACTGAAATAAGAGTGCACTGGAACAGCTGATACTCATCCAAAATTTTATGATTCCATGTACTACCACAAGCATGCCCTTGAAAGGAAAATCACTGGGCTTGAATGTTATCCTTTAATGTAATAGACTATGAAGTCCACTTTTGAACTCTTCACAATGCTGCTTCCCTACAGCAAATTTGTCCTAAAGGGACTGAGTCTGTTTACACAGAAAGTAAAGACTTGAGCATATTTGCTTCTTTTCAATATACAATATATGCCTTCTTAAATCAATAAAGTGTCCAATTAACTGCTTTGATAAACAGCTATAATATGAAATGTACATATCAGAAAAAGCACTGGCATTCTTACCGCAAATTCCTAATTTATTTCTCACTGATATTAACAAGCCAAAAGTATTTATTTTTTCTCAAAATGATTTGACTGTTTCCATTTGTAATGTTTATTAAGATTTTTGTTTTTCAAGAGAGTTTTACATTGAGCTCACATGATGAAATTTGGAGAATGTGTAATTCTATAATTTATAATGAGGAACATGCCTCTCTAGGGAAAAAAAGCAGGGGATACTTCAAAAATTCTTTGAAATTAGGTTTAAAAAGTCATACCTATGCTTTTATTAAAAAATAATTATAGTTTTATAACACAAATAACACCAACCTAAGCTTGATTAAATCATGGCCAGAGAGGGTATGCAGAAAATGGCTGTGGTAGACATTTCCAGTGGCTTACCATTTTCCTCCTCCTTCCTTGCTAAAAGAGGCTAAGAGGCTTGATTTTGTTTCTGTGGCAACATTCCCAGACAGTGAATCATAACTGGTACAAATCCATCATGACATCTGCTTCCCAGGCTCCCTTGCGTTAAGAAGTAGCCATGTGAGCCCTGGAGACACACAGGGAAGTCTGTTGGGGACACTGTTGGCGGTTTTTGGAAGATATGTGGCTGTCTTTCCTCTCTACATCCATCTTCCTGCCTTGGAGCTGGCACTATGCTGGGAACTTCGCTGTTTTCCTGTGATTTGATAATAGGTCCACAAGCCAGGGATGAAAAACCCTGGCTTCTTGATACATATCGGAGTTGCTGCTCAAGTCGAAGTGCTGGCTAAAATACAGGACACACTAAGCCAGAAAGAGAAAGAAAAATACCGGATGGTTTCACTCATAGCAGGAGTATAATGGACCAGGCGAGAAAATAACAAAAATAATGAACAACCA